CACATCCAGGCCCAATTGCTCAACGGCAGCGCGCAACTATGGCACCAATAACGGCAGCAAGGGCGTCGTCAAACACTATAGGTTAAAGAGCTAAGGGTCAATAATTGACAACTTCAAAGTACTTAGACTTGTGGTTGGACACTACCGTCCGTTACCAACAGGAGCGGGCCGCCATGTTTCTGCCAGCGTCGAATTTATATTGTGCGCCAATGGGTACCGATCGGAAAACGGGCGCATGGATGCGTTTATCCATTTACGAAGTAACAGCAACGAAGGAACGAGGGCACCGCAGAAAAAGGCTCGAAAAACGAGAAGCTCGTACAAAGGGGACAAACGTAGCCATGGTTTATGTTATAGTGGTCGCGTCGAATGGCTACCACCGTCGTCGATGGTGGCTGGGTAAGATACACGGCGCTTATGAAGGTTAATGAAATTCGGCCAGTTCGGTCGATTCACCTGCCTCACTACTGCCCACCACGTTGGCAATGCACCCGCCACCGCATCGATTAACCGGTCAACTAGCGTTGCTTCGACAAACTTCATTTTAGTCCTTGACCAATTTTTCGAATGTGCTCCCGCTTCACATTTCGACCCCGTCAGCCCCATTGTGGCCTTGTCCTTGGCAAATGTTGAAACAAACCTTTCAAGTCTCCTAATATTACAATAGAGAGAGAACCAGGCAGCTGGTGTGCAAGGGATTTATGTTGTGGCCGGCCGTAAGACAGTCGTAGTACTTAGGGCGGATGGCTTTCGATCACACTAGTGAGAACTGACTAGGATGCTGCTATGGCATTGTTAGCTTTTTTGTCACCGATGAAGACGGCAGACGCCGTAGACGATCACTACGGAACTACCGTGTTGCGAGCACAATCATGGAAAGCATTTATTCATCGATTTCTACCGATCGATAATTTGGCGGTACGCCGAAAAGGCACCAATAAGATTTACTATTTTTGTAACCAACCCCGAAATAGATAATAACATCTGTTTGTCCATACGAGTGTATGTGCACCAAGAGATAACCATCCATCTTCTTTCTTTATAATCGACAACGAACGCTGTTATGGGCATTCTCTCATAACTAATATTTGCCGTGTCCGGGATTGTCCACACATTTGACGCAAACAGAACTCAAGCAAAGCACAAGCAGATTCTATTTTATGTACATGTAAAAACGACAGACTACTCTGTTTTCTTCTAGATTTGAATATTTACAGGAATTCGTAGCTGGATTCGGATCAGATATTTCGTATAATTTAAGAACCCCATCAGGTGGAGCTAAGGAGAATCTAGGTTTCACACGTAATTCATTGAACTTTTACTGAATGAACAACAGACAAGTTAACCGACGCATTTCATCACAACACTATCGTAGCTTCGTCTGTCCTATGGCCACATTCTCAAAAGCCAATTGGAATCACACTGAGTTATATTACATGGATCATGTCGAGTTAGATCATAGAGGCGGCCGCATGTGAGACGGGATGCCATCGATACTAATTTCACAGAAGAATTAAAAGGGCTATGTGGTGTCAAAGTATAACTTAGCTCATGAATATATAAGTGACCTAAATCCAAGGAATGGTATTTTTATACCGGTTAAATCATACATCATTATTGTGTCACATACTATTGCTTCTGAAGAAATCTGTGACGGTTTCATCCGCATAATGCATGGCTCGGATCGATTACTGCTGTCCCCAGATGTACAACATTGCGGGTAGTCACGATCATAAACCAGAAATTATTTTGGATAAGAACTATTTGACAATTTATACAAGAATATATATATATATATATATATATAACTCGTAATACATAATCAGTTATATGTAACCCTAATAGTTATACCGGCTTAAAGGCGACCAAGGTGGCTTTGGAAGATGTCGCGCACATTGTAGCTGGTACTTGCCCTATTTCAAGGCACGCAGCGAACCTTCGCATGATTTTATAGTAGGCAAATTATAACCACTAGTCTGCCTAACTCGGTAGTCTGTAACTATTATGTATCGTCATTTCTAGCCGTGAGCACAACCGCTCCAAGGAATATGCTTTTTTAACTTTGTGGCACGACTGACCTTTCAGAACAGAATTCAGAAAAAACCCCTGGCCAATATGACCCTATTTGTGAGGCTATATGGGCCGAAAACATAAATGTCTTCAACTAATATTTTCTCACAAAGGAATGAATTGTGATGAACTTATTTTTATGTTACATAATAACAAATGGAGTCTTTCGCGAATATATTAATATAATGTTTTTCTTTCTCGTTCGTGACAAAGCTTGTTTTCAACGGTAACGTTATAACTTCATTATGGCAGATTATTCCTATCAATTTCTTCAAGCCAACAGACGGAATTTAAGGTTGACTTTCTTGATACCGCATAGATTCATCAATAGGTGCGTATAAGTGTAGCAAGGTTACGAACTGAGGCAGTGTCAATTTTAACGCATTGTAACCTAGGCGACCATGGTACTTAGGGGCCAAGGGACAATATTAATTAGAAGTTTCTGCTTTCGTCTGCAGTTGTTCATTCAATTAAGATCTTTTTTTTCGTAAGAGCCTACGATGAACTTGTCGTATACCAACGCTTAAGGTATATCTACATCGATTTCGCGTTGTTTTAATATGAAGAAAGCCATATGAAGAGCAGTTTTCTGGCCGGTTCAACCCAGTAATTTGCAGCAGAAGTTTAGTTAAGAACATGGTGACGCCGTATTATTATTGTCATGTCTAAATACAACTTACTCTCCAAATAGCATGTCTCTGAATAAGGACTATTCCATAAACTCTTGAGATCTGTGCAGTCATTATCATATTTCCATCGCTTTCTTTTTATGATTAAAAGCTGGCCAGATTCAGTTTGACTGTCAATAGCAAAAGCAGGCACCTTAAGTTGTAGTTATAAGAAAAAGATAGGCACTTACCAATTCTGCACACTTAATTACGCCCTGCGAATTAACGTCACGCTCGTGCGTTTTGTTATCGCTGTCGATAGTCACTACATCAGTGGCAGTTGGTTGTCTCCTAGCTCTTACGTACATAAACGTATAATGTTGAAATCATTAAAATCAAAGACGGACTTGTTTGCTAGGTTTGATTGTTGAGCTTCTAATCGGACATGTACCTGCGTAGGCCGTAGACATGTTTTTCCGCATGGTGTATCTGATCACATATGTACAGTACATATACTTAAATGTTTCGAGTTTACCGTGCGGCACTGCCATGGCATGTTTCGCGCTGGGAGTCGGCTGCCCGACAGAATATCTGACGGCGGCCCCGCATGGAAAACTCGAAATAGTTATATCTGTCGCGCATTTCGCCGAACACGGAAATACCTATTGTGCATTGAAGTGACAGAGCTCTGCTCGACTAAGCAGCTGTAAATCATCGCTAAATTGCCCACAGTTCATATAATGGGAGAGCTTTTAGCTAGACGCAAAAATACGTCCGCAACTCAGAGTAACACCGCTTGAAATTCCTTGCAATTAAGCAGAATTTTTGCTTTGTATACATTTAACGCTGTAAGCGAAATGCTGTCACTATTTTGCGTCCAAGCGCACAAAATTATTGCCGCTACTTTTTAAGTTGAGCACGTTTTTTTTTTAAAGTGAGCGATATAACAGTTGTAACTTAATTAACCACTAGAGTTAAAGCACAACAAAAATTTAAGTGATCGCACCCAGAGGATTTGAGCTTCGTTGAACTCAGGCCTTACATTTTGAATGACAATGACGTGATTTCGTAGTTTTAATAACTACAGATAGATAAGGACATGCGAAAGACCAAATGATGAAAGCAAATATTAGCGGGACAAAACAATAGCCCCTGCAGTAGTAAACAAACAAACGTTGCCATAATTTATGTCTGCTCAGCTCTGATACAAAGTTGATACAGCCAGAATTCTGGCGCTGCCATCGCGTAGCTTTGTTGTAGCTACGTCAGTGACGTTTCTGTTACAACTCGGTTTGTTTGCGGTGCCATCTGCTTTTCGTCTGCTTGCAGGCATCGTTTTTCGCGTCGCTTGAAGACTGGTGTTCCCTGAGGAGAAGAGCAAATCGCTTAAGAGAGCAACAGTGCACGGCTGCTATTATCGAAGTCTCTGACGTTAGTGTCACCGTTCCAATGAAAGAGCTGAAGGACGAAGCTGATAAAAAAAAAAAGCACAAGCTACTATGCGTAGGCGACGGAGCATGTCGACAGAGTTAAACAGCATGTCAACATATGACGACAAAATTTCGGCTACAACGAACAATACGACGGAAACAAGAGAAAAAATTCAATAACGATAAAACACGGTACACAATTGATTTCGTCGGTCGCATTGCTGTTCAGCACTAGATTGCTCCTTTCATGGTTTCAAGTTTTTCTGTTCGAGCGTTGAGGTTAGCCTATGATATTTATGGATAGCCTGAAGATACTCAGCCTCGTCAATGCTATCGCCACCGCAGAGCTGAATACTTTTTGTACGGGTTCATTCGGCTATCGGAGCGTTCTCGGGCCAAAAATAGCCTGAAGGCAGTCGCTCAGTTCTGTATCGCGCGCATCCCTAAGTTAGCAATGAATCTATCAAAATAATGTAGAAAAAGATGTCACAAAGATTTTTATTCTGCAACAATAACAAACGACATTAGAAACTGAAAATAACCTCAGTATACATGAAGTTTCACATGCGCTGGACGCCTATACTTCTGCTGTTTTTTAAGCCACGACAGGAAGCGTTTACTTCGTATGAGTACTTCGAATTAAATAATTTGAATTTATTAAAAGAAAAGAAAGAATACTCAACTGATGCATAAGAAAACAAAGCGTAAATGTGTTACTCATGTATAGTTTTACGAATCATCGAATCAATAGTATCTAGATGGCTGGTACCCGAAATCACAGACCAGCAATCAAATAATTACTCTAATTTGCAATTAAATAGTTTGCATATAATCAATTGTTCGTTTCTGCCTATTGCCGAAAAAGGGTTTAAGGAGAGGTTGAAGTAAGAACCTGGTTAGCGTTTGCTTAGTTGGCACTGGTACGTGGCCGTGGCTGTTCCTTCTCGTTTAGAGATGCTGCTTTTCCGTTGTGTACTGACCGTAGCGATCTTCTTCAGCACTATTTATGATGATGCCCTGTTTATGGTTCTAATAGAATACTCTTTGGACGTACAAACGAAATAATCGCTCTCTCGATATATAAACAATTGACTGTGGAACACATCATCATAACGAAACGGTAAAACTCAGGAATTATGATGTATATCAAGTACTCAACTTTACGACGCTAGTTAGAATGATACGTACGCGACACAGAAAGCCCTAACAACACCATAGGCACAAGCGACGACTAAACAAAGTTTTTTAGAATAAATACACATCTGAGGGTCTCTACAGTTAGCGCTAACCGCAGCATGTTTAGCAAGCGTGCCCCCAAGCGACTTTATGGGCAATATAGTGTTCAAAATAGTGCTATACGTAGGAATATTAAGGAAAAGTTTGCCACCACTGTTTAATTGCGCCTCCTACATATAATACGGTAGCATGACATTTATTTTTCACACATTATACTCAGCTCGTTCTGTTCCTTGCCACGACCATGCACGTTTTGCACCACCTGGCGATTCTCTTACCTACCTAGGTTACGGCTAAAGAAAGTACATCTTTACCATACTTGTTAGAACAGGCCCACTGTACTGCATCATAATTACAACGTAAGTTACTGTGGAAAAGACTACACCGTTAACTTCTTAGGGAAGTCCCACAATTGTAATTTATATGAATTTGTATATCGGGGAGGTAAACGTATAAGCCAATTAGTTAGCCCACCCGAACGGTCTCATTGCGTTTACATTCTTTCTCAAAAGGAATGACGATCTCAAAACAGCTTTCAAATTTGGCATCCAACATTACTAAGATCAATAAGCTAGACATCGGCCAACAGACAAGGGCTGGCCTTCCGCTATCGTTGCTGTTTCGTCCTTCATAAACAGAAGGCTATACGACTTCAGATGACTTTTCTCTATGTAAAAATCGTGAGAATAATTATTCGGAAATCATTCGATAAGGAATCGAAGTGGGCATCGATATCATCTACTAATCCGATGTCAACGATCATTTGTAATGGTCACCAATATACATACATAATTCAAACAAGTAGTGAGGCATAAATCAACTTATGGGTTCCGCATTGGGTATATTATCAGCGCAGCATTACCTATGTAGAACGGTATAATTAGCATGAAGGACTTTTGGCTAATGCATGCTTAATTGCTATTTAAACTATATATATGACGAAAAAGCACTAAATAGAAAAGGATTACAAAAATATAACAAATATATATATGTATATATATATATACAGAACGGTTCCCACAGGGATAAGCCTGCTTGTGCCTCTCAAAGCGTATTCACCAAAACTAAGGTTTAACAGCTTGCTATATAATGATGCTATCGTTTGAAGACGTTGGCACTGAAGTGATGAAGGCGCAATCGAAGACCTATCATTGTCTATTTGTTTGGATTTTCGAAAACATGAGTACACAGATCGCTCGGTGGTAGACATGAATAGTATCACAATCCATTAATACCATACCATCTATCGAATTCATATAATCGTAGCTAGCTAGACAATCTAATGCTATTTTTTAATTTGCCGTTGGCGTTTCTAGATGGCAACGAGCTGTCAACGATTCTGGTTGGCTTTTATCATGGTATGGTTTCGAGATTCTATTATATATATAGATGTCTATTGGAGATGAGTTTTCTTGGTTTCGACTGTCCTCAAGCTTGACGGTCTCCCTGTTCCGCTCACCTAAAAATTCAAAAAACACAAAATTCATTAAAGCATCCATAGGTGACAATGCCTTCACATTCATCCTTTGAGAAACGTAAAGTATTGAAACAACAGAACCCTACACGCTCTCATATCATGCGCGACAAGGTGTTATAAAGGAAAAAGAACATGGCGAAAATTCCATTCGGAAGAAATCCCATATATATATACATACATGTATGTGAAATAAACATTAATAAGAAGAAGTGACTATGCTTCGTTAGTTCATTAATTGAAAAAAGAAGCTTCAATGGGTTTCGACTTAAGCGTGGTGAAGCGATCAGCAATAAAGATAAATGATACTGTGACACACTACAATACCGTGCGTTTCTTATGAAGTGCTGGCGCCATCGCCTCGGTTAATTGTCAAGACAGCGTCGTTTGCAGAATAATGACGCGCCTAATGGTGGTTGTTTATAGCGATGATAACCTCTCTCAAATTTGTGGACACATTTCTATTCTCACTGCAGTTAACATAAAACTCCCAAAGTTTTAATGAGAAACAGTTACTTTGAGTCTTCCCTAAACTTTCCAATAACAATCCACCTGTCAGGACGGCCGGTGACAAGGTCACCTCTGCAAGTCGCCATCGTAGCCACAAACGAACGATACGTTCGATCGAGTCCGGATTGCACGGGAGTTTGCCGGTCCACTTTAGATCTTTGCATCGGATCTTTTTCCAACGTCATCTGAAGGCGTCGTAGCCCGAAAGCTGCCAATACTTTTTACCCAACCTCTATCTCTTCCTCCCACTTCCAGTTATTACTCAGTAGACGCGTATCTCACTCTTAAACTATTGTTCGTTTGGCGGAGGCCATTCAAATTGAACTGCCTTTGAAGGTTCATACCCAATACCCTTAATGAAGACAGTATTAGCAGGGAGGACAGGAACAGCAACGAAAATTTGATTATCCTGCAAATTAGTGAATGGTCAATAACGTGTTACAACAACAATGCGTGAGGTCGGGAGCCACTACAGCGCCCCCATTAAATGAACTCAGACGAAGAAAGCAATACAATCGAGAGAAAGAGAAAGTAAGAGTAGGCCAAATGCGATAAGGTCGAAGGAAGTATTGATTATTGAATGCTTTATTACTAAGTTAAATTAAACGACACCATTTTCAAAAAAAAAACATTGTAACGCGGAAGATGTGTATTTTGATAGAGAAAAAAAAAAAGCTGTATATGTAAAGCGCCGTGTTTAGATCGAGACTGGTTCCTATCCAAGATCGGTTCTAAGGGAAAAAATATTATAACAGAATCTATGGTGTATGTGCGAAATGTGTTACCCTGATAATCCTATATGTTGCATATAATCACCATCGATAGCGATTATGCGGAATTTGAGCTGCTAAGTAATCATTCGAAATTTTTTTTAACCCGCAAACAAAATTTTAATATCAGATATGCTTATGCGAACTGGTAGATGTAAAATTGTTAAGGTGTTGTACAAGTAAAAAAATTGTAGGCTCAAAAGAAACCAAAGGTTCCTGGAAATGCAAGGGCTTGGAAAGTGTAAAAGGTCTTGAAATGACAAATCATGGGAGCTTGTCTGTACGACCCAATAAACAATTAATCGATATTCCTTTCTCCAAAATGTCCATTAATAACGGCTTTTCAACTATCTTGATAGATCTGTAAGTTCTATAAATCTAAACCCTTTGAGGATCTGCCAGTTTACCTCACAGAGATCTTCCTCGGGTTATCTATAAACCGTCTGAAAACTCACACTGAAGTAGACGGTCATCTTCGGGAAAAAAGAAACTTGGTGGAGAGGTAGCGTAAAGAAATTCTATAATTGCTAATTTTCGCTTAAATTCTGAACATGACGCACTATTGTTTGTTTTGACGAGTTCGTTATTCTGGTCTAGAAGTAACTGATTTACTTCTGGTACCACAAATTAATGATGAACCCATGCCTATTACGACAAATAGCCCTTCTATAATGTTTATACAAGAATCACTAGCTAAGGTACACGGCCACAGGAAAAAAAATTATTTTCAACAAGGTACTTATTCAATAATGGTATACAAACGCGTAGATGCTGTGTTTATAGCTGAGAACAAGCGTTGTCGTAACATTGTCGCAAGTTCGAGCATCTACCGTGCGTTTTCTCCAAAATAAGTGCTTTACATAAAGGAAAAGTGCTCTTACTATAGCATATCTTGTCGTTTCTTTTTTATATCGGAACAAAGTAGAAACGACATTATCTTATCCACGTTTTGTTGCTGATGGATGCGTATCATACGTACGACGTGTATATAGAGGCGTAAATGTACGTTGTAGATTAGAAGAAGCTAGCATGGCGGAGTAACACTTCCTGTGGTGTTGCTATGTAGATGGGCGAGTATTTAAGCTGAGCCAGGGACATAAGCCGAAGCCGAACTAGGATGACTAGACTCCGACGCTACTGCAGCTTTTGCTTTTCCATTTCTCCAAAGCGCGGCTGCTGCTGCTGTTGGTATTGCGCTCTTGATGTCGTCTGCCACGTTAAAAGGCTATTTTTACGTTAGACACTGACTGTCGCGACATCACTTCCGGCTGAAATCACCGCTAGGGAGTCGGCTGCACTATTGGTCTTAAGGTGAACTACGATGCTAGACGGGGCCAAAGCGATACTATAAGACATTTTTATATCACTTCTCCTTCTTCTAAGATCAGAGGCACGTTCACCGTTATGGTTAGTGATCTGTTACTCCTGGCGGCGTGGCAACATGGTCCAACCAGACAAACGTGTCTGTCTCTCTATAGGTGCATAAGTTACATTTAATATAATTACCGAAAGCGTTTGCCACCGAAAATAGTAAAGTATACATTTAAAACATGTCCAAAGCATGGTAGAGTAGAGGGGTTTTACTACGATTGTTTTCTCCTTTTCGTTCTGCCTGCGTGAATCACTATAAACAAATTGGATTTGAAGCCCACATCTCGTATCAGACACGTTCAGATATGGATGTATGTGTACCAGTCTGAACGTACGTGTCCTTGTGTCTCTCGTTGGCTACTTACTCCTAAAAACTCACACATACAGATCTATATAGAGCAAGCAGGCGCTAACTTGGTTTGATTACATAAGCGTAGTCTGTATAATTCTATTATAGAGAAAAGATGTTATATATAAATCTAAGTGAGGTTTACCTAATTCAGAGATTTGAGAGAGCTCGTATAATATATTGGTCCGATTATTGAATGCGATAATGTATTATTATATGCACTGGAAGTCAGCGTGCGGTTCAGAACTGCTTCAGTTCTTACGTATGACTACAAATACGTACGTGTAGTAGTTTAGCAAAATGAATGTAGCGTTAAAATGGTACACGAACATAACAATGTGTATCTTGATAGGAGCGAAAATGTCACCTATCTGTAATTTTGTTTGAAATTGGTGGAACGTGTAGATCAATATGCGTGCATGGTTCGCCGGAAAATCGTCTTAATACATAAGACTGCACATTAAGCACTGAATAAATTTTTCAAATGGTACGCGTATTATCAACAGGGTACCAAACGTGTTAATGCTCCAAAAAACTTCCCAAGATCTGAGAAGTGCCCTGCTACAGGTGAAGAGGAGGCCCTTAGGGATCAGAATTTTCCCGCGTTACAGCAAATTCTTTGCTGTTCTTCGAAGTTTAAGTTACAGTATCTAGTGAACGGTGTTCTTAAAGTTTTTTTTTGGACTTGGTGCTGTTAGATGTAGAGAACAACTGCTACCCGTAAGTGGCATTAAAAGGGTGTCTTTTGAGACGGGTCCGCCCCTCTACGTCAACTTCCGCTACATACTGCTGACTTATAACGTACTTCGTTCTCGTCTCCCTTTATGTTACATATACATTGATACATTGCGGTTTTAATTGATACTATTATTTTTTCCCTTATTACCATTTCCATTGTTCTTTATTTTCTGACCGTCGGAGCAGATACATCAGCCCAATTGTTCTGCCGCCTGTTGTATTAGTCATGGGCGTACGAAGACGGCTTTTCTAGCATCAGGGGCACTACGTTGGTACTAGTTATTGCGATTGGAGTTAGGAAAGAAGGTCGCTTGGGAAATGCTACGCAAGCAGACAGAAGAGGTCAGTTGTTTCAAATTGTCCGTCCCGTCCACTCCCTCCGCCTTCCCGTGTTTCATCTCCAACAGACCTTCACTCATATGACTTTTGCAGTGATGAGCCACTTGACGACACTTAAGACCTTGGACTAGTAGCTCAGCGATTCGCCTGCTTGCCACCTTAAGACCTGCCGTATCTAGCAAAAGAGAAAATAACTAGAGACAGAGTTCTGCAAAGAAGAACGAACCGAAGTAAACCCAGACATTAAAAAAAAAAGTAGACAAAGAAAACGCTATACAGAGGAAACACTGACTAACCGACTTCCAATAAAACGCAGCGAAAAAGCTAATGGGAAAGAAAACCATCGAATGGCCAGTAGTACTCACATAAACGACCATCATCAGGATCCAGCGTTGGACGGCAGCTTTGCCATTGCGTAGCGTTTCGTTTGTCGCAAAGCAAAAACAGGAGTCTCGGGCTCCATCGGCTTTGCTCATTCCCCTCAGAGGAACGGAAGCCGATTTGAGGATAGCAAAAGTGAGGGGCGAAATAAGAAAGGCTCCGTCAAAAAACGAAAACTGGCGATAGATTTTAGGTCAATGGTGAGCAAAAGCGCAAAGCGCCGATGATTATGAAGCACATGAGCAGGACGAAGATACAATAGATTACAGATGAAAAACAGAAAAAAGGAAGAGTAAACGTCGATGGCAGTCACGAGCGGGTAGTGGAAACACGAACAAATGTGGATGGATACCTGTTAACGTTCTACTTTGTCCGTCCATCAGTTTTTCCTGTAGCTCCTTTGGCTGAGCAAGCAACCAAAGGTATGGAAAGCTACTTTCAAGGTACATATGTACACAAAAACACCTTATCCAATCGATCATCTCTATAGGTCTGATAAGGAAATCTGTTTTCAATCGGCGTATGTT